GTGAGCGTTAAACAGTTCAGGTTGTTGTATTGTTGCTACGCACCAGAGAACCTCTGTCAAAGTGACTTTGGCACCGCCGCGTATCCGCCTTTCTCCCTTTGTCTTCCAAGCCCTTCGCCAGTGTTTGCAGTTATCCATGTGCTCAGCGATGGAACAGCCTATTGTTAGTCTAACAAGGGCAAAGTCACACTGGGATTTTTGAAAAAGAAAAAAAGCCAGTTCTTTACTTTGCCTAAAACTTTGTTAAATATTAAACTAGCCATGCCAAGGAGTTTAGGGAAAGTAAACACTGAGGGTTTGCTAAACTTAAACCTAATAAAGTAGAAAGTTAATAGTTGGGTACAGAGTGTTTTCTGTGTTAGAAAAGCCAGCTATGATAATGCACAAGTACAAGTCAACAGTGCTTTAGAAGGTTTCATTAAAGAGAGTGAAGGTGTAACGAAGTCTGCAAAACTCTGAAATTTGGCCACAGAGGTCTTTTCATGACATGTGGAGAACCCAAACCTCTCTGGCACTCAGGGTGGAGTAGCTCCTGATGGGGTGTATAATTCTTATAAATTTTTTCTTTTATTTATTTATTTATTGTAGTTACTTATTATAATTTGTAATTCTTCAGAGCACCTGCACAACTTGCTGTGCTCCATCCCATTTCAAGTAACAAAGGTGATGCCCAGAGAATATGTGGGGAGATTGTGTCATGAGGCACGGAGTGGTTTCCTTTCCCATCCCCATGCGGTCATCATTTGCAATTAAAAATGTGTGTGCAGTTGGGTATCAGGGCACCTCCCCAGCACTCTTTAAGAACAGAGCTGCCAATGGGATCCAAAATAATATACACAAAATGTAAATGGCAAAGTATAGAAACCACAGGAGAGCTTGGACTGATTGCCAAGAGTTGAGGGGTCTTTTCTTAGATTGAGTGTAATAATTTGTACCTACCTTGTTATTAGTGGTATGCCCTGGTAAAAGCTTCTCATTGCAAGAAAAACCACCTGAACAAGTTTTCTGGGCCTGATGTATTTCTGATATTTTAAAACCATATGGCTGTGTTTCAATCTGAAAGGTTTCCAAGGCAATAGGGAAGAGAAAGGAGAGGAGGAGAATGCAGGAACTCTGAGAGTTCTCTGAGGTGTCCCCATCCTCTCTGCTTGCAGACAAAACATCTTGTCCAGTACCAGGAGTGTTAAACTTGCTGTTTAAGTAGAAGGGATAGTTGGGAACCATCAAAGTTCAATCTAAACCAGAAAACAGACCTAATATTTGAAATCTGTAGCTTCAAGTGGTGGAATATTGTTGGGAAAAAAAATACTGAGAATTCATCTAGATTTTAATTAGGCAACTAACATTGGGGGTTTTTTATAAACCAATTTTTTAAATAAAAAACCTGACCAACAATGAAAAATGCTCTGTGTGTTGCAGCAAAAGTAATGAACCTTTGCTAAAGTTACTGGAGTGTTAAAGGTATGTTTATGGCCTATGGTAAGACACAAGTGGGCAAAAAAAGCTGTTCTCTGACTGGTGTTCAGATGGGAATGAGGAAGATAAGACTGATGCAAATCAAATGGTAAGAAGCAGGGAATGATCTATGGTGAAAAAAAAATTAGCAGAACAATTGTAGAAAGTTTACAAAGGAACCAAGTATTTATAATAAATGTGAAATAGCTATTACTGTAGTTTATTGGTGTATTTTGTTTAATAAGAGTATGGATCTAAAGGCAATGGAAGCAGACTGACTCCTCTTCTTTAGGAGGAGAAATCTGAACTGAAATAAACTTGAGCCCACTTCAAAACAGGAATAGAGGGGAATAATGCTGTGCAATGTTTTAATGTGAATACCAGCCAAAAATATCCCCTAGAGAGAATGCTGTGGGGACACATTGTGAGTGTGGACAGGGAGCTTCCTGGCTTTACACTGTCCTCAAGAGATGGAAGAAGAGAGAGTATTCAATAAAATGCTTTAAGGTCTTGCTTTTCAATGATTTTTGAGCGGAAGGCAACCTTTTCTGTCTTAGTTCCCAACTAGATATTGTTCCTGTTAGGGTAGACCAAATAGTGACATAAATTTCCAAATGACAGTTGAAAAGTCTTTTAGAACTTAGTTTTTGTCCAGTATCCAAAAATATTCTGGCAAATATAGAAGCATCTGAAGGCTTAGGGCTTATTTGTTATTCCCCTTATTCTGTTTGCTTTGTGCCTGTGATCCCATGGGAGTCCTGCATCTGCTGGAGGTCTGGGCGTTGAACCTGAGTTCACCACTTCCAATGAAGCGGTCCATCTGTCTTTGCTGGTCCTCCACACTAAATGCTCAGCTTGTTCTTGCTTAGGCCACAGCTTTTGCTTAACAGAGTACAAATTTGTTTCATTTATAATATGGTTTGCTTAAAAGAGGATTTTTGTTTTAACACTGGGTTGTTAATAGACCAAAGGTATTTTCCGAACTGATGGGCTATGATGGGCTCTCCTTTTTTAGTGCTTTGAATAAATCAGAAATGACTGATTTGACTAGCAGCTCTGAGAGAAAGTTTATGTAGATAAATCCTGCTCCTGGCCGGTAGTAACTTTCAAGTTGAGTAGTGTTCAGAAAAGTATCATTCATAAAAGCAGCATGAATGAAAGCTGTAATATGACCAAAGAAAAAGGAATAATTGTGGTGTTTGTACTTTTTTTTTTTTCCCCCTTAAGCAAGCAGAAGGACTTTTTAAAACTATACAGTGCAAACAAGAGCTAACTGATGTGTCTGGGCTTTGGTATTTAGCAGATAACTCAAACAGAAATTAGCAATATACTAGAAGCTGCACTGCAGTTTGATTTATGGCAAAAGCAGTCTTCAAATAGATTTCGTTTTAGCGTGTATTTTTGTATTCTCATGAAATGAGACCTGAAAATTAGAAGGCCATGTGTGATGACAGAGGAGGAAAGTGCTATTAATCAAAACCACTTTTGTTCATGTCTTCAAAGCCTTTCTGACACCTTTTCCATTTTTATCTGTTTCTACATTTTCAGTGTAGCAGGCATTTATAATATAAAAAGAACTGCAGTAGCAGAGTGACTTGATCAAGTGCTTTTATTCGTAAATACTTTCTACTCAGCAATGCTGAAAGTTTCTAGAATCAAGATGATATTTTTCAAGATACTTCAAATGAATTAATTATACATTAGATGTAAACAATAGTCTTATATTTAAAAGCAAAAGACAACAAAACCCACAGATGAACTGGTATGATTTTTGCAAATTTAGATACTGAAAATGATCCAAAAACATGTCAGTCTTGAAATGACCTGATTCAAGAAAATTTAGTGAACAAGCCAGTTACACAAAAAAGGTGTATGACTACATTGCTTCTTCATACAGAGAAAGAGTAAGCAAAGGTAGTTATTGAGCCCGTATCAGTGGATTAATACCAAGCATAATTACAATGCAAAAGTATTGGTGTTAAAAAGGATTTCTCTTCCAGCTGTGTTGTCTTGGCTTACAAATATGTGTGAATAGGCTGAATAGGTGGAGGGGAGGATGTTAATTACATTTCATTGGATTGATTTTATTAACTTGTGTGGTATGTGGCTATCTTACTTCTGTTAATAGTAGGGGATTGCCGTTTGTGTTGAATTTTATGTGCATTTACTGTCACTTAAATTTCTGTTCTCTGTAAATTACTATGCCACTCTCATTTGAACAGGGAATGCAGTATTTTACCTGAAACATATTTGCAACTTTTCTGTAGGGCAGAGGCTGATCAGCATTCCATTAAGGGAGATAATGATAAATCTTTTTTCATCTTTTCCCTGGAAGATGGTCTGAAAGGTGGGAGAGGAAGAGTAGCACAAAGATTAACAATTCCATAAATTAGGTTTTTTTGCTAAAGCTACATACCAGTGCCCTGACCTTGTGTTGGAGAGCTGCATCACTGCAACAGAAGCATCACCCTGCGCTGTTTGATGTCTCTGTCGTTGCTTGGTTGTTTCTCTCTGAGCTTCCACCCGGATCTTGGTTTCACATTTTGATTTACAAGGTTTAGTACGGCTGCACTAAAGCCAGGACACCGAGTAAACACTTACGCTTTCTCTTGCTGGTGGTTACAAACAAAAGTCTATGGAAACGTGGGGTTTTTTTAGTGTACTTGAAAAAGAAAAAGAATTCTCCACTTGACAGAAATAACTGCTCCCATAAACTCGTGTTGCTGTAGCGTGTACGTTACCAAGGTACATATATCAATAGAGGAGAAATAAAAGCAGAGGAGTGTTTGTTTCTTCATTACCCCTGGCAACAGTATCCTCTGTGCCTTTCATTTTTGTAAATGCATTTCTCTTACTCTGTAAAAGCTTATGTCTATTCTGTGACTCTAAAAACCTGAGCACAAATGGAAGTGTGTGCATGTATACATTTCTGAAAATGTCAAGTTTTTATTTGTGTCTTAACTTTTATAAAGAGGATGTGAATGTGGCCTTTGGAGTGCTTCAGATTGACAGGATCTAGTGAGCTAGACAAGTGTTTAAATTTGATTTAAAAATATGCTTTCCTTACACAGTACTGTATTTTAAGTTCCTGGACATGTTGTATTGAATGTGTATTCTTGTTTAATCTGTCAGTAATGATCTATTGCACTCACTGTAAAATGTTTTGAGGAGGCATGTCATATTCTCCTGTCTCTGTTCGTACACTGATATTCTTGGCTTCAGCTTTTGTATCTAAAGCAAAATAACACGTTCACAGGTTGTATATTCTTTCATGTAACTTTTTTAGTATGTTGAAATTTGTCCATTACTTCTACAACTTAGCAAAAAAACATTCTGTGTTATTTCACAGACATTTCAGAAAGTAGGTGGACTTAATTGGTGGGGGAGGAGGGGAAAAGAAGTGCTTTTTAATTTGTTCCTTTAAGTAGGCAAGTATACACTGGACAAAGATATTAGGCAAATGTTGCTGGTTGCTTGTATTTCAAGCTAATTTAATTGGTACTGAAAAGAGAGTCTTCTAAATGCTTTTGGCACTGTTTCCCCAGCTCCTGCCGGTGGATGGACATCGAACAGTATTAAACCACCTGGAACAACTGCCCCAAGTGAAAAGTCTGCGACAGCACCTCAGCTAAATGAGCAAGACACGTTGGTTCAGAGGGCAGAGCATATTCCTGCAGGAAAGCGTACTCCCATGTGCGCGCATTGCAATCAAGTCATTAGGTTTGTATCTATTCATTGGGATTGTTCTTTGGTGGGTAAAAAAACTGGCTGGATGGCTGGGCCCAAAGAGTTGTGGTGAATGGAATTAAATCCAGTTGGTGGCTGGTCACAAGCGCTGTTTCCCGTGGCTCGGTATTGGGGCCAGTTCTGTTTCATATCTGTATCAACGACCTGGATGAAGGTCCTTCTCCTCTTGGCCCTTAAATAACTTGCTGTTGTGTCACAAGCGCTGTTTCCCGTGGCTCAGTATTGGGGCCAGTTCTGTTTCATATCTGTATCAACGACCTGGATGAAGGTCCTTCTCCTCTTGGCCCTTAAATAACTTGCTGTTGCTCCCTGTTTTCCGGCTTTGATCACCATTAAAGAGGAGATGAGCTGCAGCCCTGTAAGTAGGTTGGAGTTCCCCCAACCTTTGCTCTTAGGGGATGCATGAGGAGAAACTCTGGAGCCCTCCTTCACAGTACTTAAGCCATTGTCACCTATTGTAAGTGACACCTCTTCATGACTAGTAACTGATACCCATGTCTAACTTCTTTGTAATTTGCTGGTGGTGTTTTAATCCTTATATTTCTTCATACGTTAAATGCCATCTCAATTATTAAAAGCAAGCATTGTTTCATTTGAGGATGAGTTGACGTGCATTGATCAATGCCAAATATGCCTCGTGTTCACAGCACACAGTGGATTTGAAAGATTGCAATGGCATTTTGAATTCAAGTTTTAGCATAATTACAGTTCATGCCCTTAGTGGTAGCATTACCTATGAAAAGGTAGGAGGAGGATCAAGTGACCTTGTATTGTACATCTGTTTTGTAGCCAAAATAAGTTGTGGGGTTGGTTACTTTACACTCAGGCATAGAATAACCATGGCCGGTTGAGCCAAAACCATTTCTTAGAGACATCTTATAACTTTTTAATATATCTTTAATTATTCATACAGCAATTGTCTGACGACTCAATTTTTTTTCCAAAGCTTCATTAAGTAAACTTGTCTTTCCACATCTAAAAGAATCGAAGCTGGAGGCAAACTAAATTTCTCATGATCTACTTGCTGTGACAGTCTGACAAACTTCTGACATTTCCTGATGAAGACCTCTGGTTCCCAGGCTGTCTTACCAAGTGCTGCAGTGCAGAGTTGGCTCTTCCTTTGAAGTCCAAATGTGTTTTCCCTGGATCTCTGTTGAGAATGTACTCTTTGGCATATCTGCTTGTGAACAATGATTTGGCTTTGTCACCTTTTCATACAACTTAGTTGTTTTTAAAAGCAAAAGGGAAAAAGGACCAATGGTGTTTCCCTGCAACATCTCCCATACAGAAATTATATGTTATGGCATTTTCAAGTGAGGAGTAAAAGAAACAGAGTGTAGACTGCTGTATGGTTAACTGTAAAGTGATTGGCCTACTTAGCAGATGTGGAAACCCTTTTGATCTTTCTACCACCAAATTTCAGTTCTGGCTTGCTATCATAATAAAAACCACATAAGAAGCTAGATTATTGGCATACTAATACATCATGACCATACTGATGAAGTTATATTTAGTTGCAAGTGTAAAGATAGTGAAATTACAATAATATTCCCTGTACATTATTTATTTCTTCCAGTTTGCCCATGTATCATTGCTACATGCAGAACCCAGCTGTTTTAGGTGGCTACCAAATTTATGTACCTTTGGGGCAAAAGATTCTGTAAATACTGTTGTAAACACATCAGAGTCCTGTAAAAAAAATTACTACTATTTGTCCCCATCTGTGAGTTTGGTTCACGTGGTCTAGATGGTGATGCCAGAAATTTGACAGCAATGCACCTCAGATAGAGGTGCATTCATGGCCAACTGTTGCCTGTTGGATCATCCCACATCTTTGGATGGAAGGAACATGTTTTTTTTAGCACCATCTTGAAAAATTTGTTCTAGTTGACAGAGGCATGATGGATTTTTTTTATTGTCTTTTGGCTTTTAATAGGGAAGGAACAATGAAACTGCCTGTATCCATCTTCCTGGCATTTCATGCCCTAGCTACTTCCCCTCAGGTTATGTGAGTGTGGGCATGCACCCCCCTTACTCAAATCGGGGCTTTAAACTAATTTTCAAATGAATACAGCAAATAAATACCTTTCATTACTGGAAGCTATCATTTTGTTCACAAAAATATGCAGAAACTGGGATCACCTCCAAGTTCTGAATATCATGTTTTAGTGTATTTTACGTGGCAGGTGTTTTTGTTTTTTTTTTTTTTCTCTTTCTTCCACGTGCTTTGGGGCAGCTTTTAAGTTGCTGGTATCATTAAGCTGCAGCGTCAGCTTGACATGTTTAAACTACAGGCTGATTAAAAGTAAAATTGTATTTAGAAAGCGTTCTTCTGGACACGTGTGCTCAGGGAGCCAGCCCGCTAATGGAACACCTCGGAGACATTGTGCAGGGCACGGCCACAGCTGTCTGGGGACTTTGGGAAAGAAAGTCTGTAGATGCACTCTCAGGCTGTTCTCCATCCGTCTGGGTTCCTGCTCGCTGTCCTGAATGGCTAACCTCAACATGTCAGAGCTGTAAACTCTGGAGGGCTCAATGCAGCAGATGTTGTAAAAATTTCCTCCCCTCCCATCGCTAGCGTACCTGCTTTCCATGGAAGAGCTAGCTGAGCCTATCGCTTCAGTGCAGATGGCCAGAAACTCAATCCTACCTGGAGCCGGGAGAGCCTCTTTGGTGTCAGCCCCGTGTTAATGAATCTGTTAAATTAGCCTGCGCTGACACGGCGCACTGAGAGCACTTTGTTGTACATAAGGGCTTGTATTGTTTGATCAGTACATAACTGAAAGGGCATTGATGTAAGAAGGTGCTTGTAGGGCGGCGGGAGGGTATCGGGTTAGGTCAGTGTTTGCACTGCTCAGGCATCCGCTGGGAGCTGGGGCCAGAGAGCTGTGCTCGACCCCAGTTCCTTCCTTAAAGGGCTACGAGCTGCTCTCCAGAAGCCCTTTTTCACTGCCTTTTTTCTGATGATCAGAGGTAAATAGAAGAAACTGTTGCAGATTAAATGTGTTCATCACCTCAGAAGGCATGTGAGTTTTCCTAAATCCGAGTTCCTTATTTTTGACTTCTTATCCTCTTGAAAATATGTATCATCTCCAGAGAAAATGTAGAAGAGAAATGAAAATAATTACCCCCTACTGCCAATGACCTCTGCCTCCTTATATTCCTGTCTTCCAGTCAGTATAACCCTGGAAGCAAGTTTTAAATTTTTTTATTTTTCTTCTTCTCTATTGCTGTTTCTTTGTTCATATGAGAATCTTATCTTTCACAAAAATGTTCTTGTAGCTTACTGGATTTTATAAAAAAAAAAAAAATTTAGCAACCAAGTGGGGATACTAGTACCTCACACTTTTTTTTCTGCAGTGAAGTATTATATTAGAAAAAATTATGCATTACTGAAGTGTGGCATCTCTGTTGGCATTGCAAAACCAGGAAATCTGGTTAGGAAGATGAACTTGAACCACAAAGTTCACCTGAAACCTGAATTGTGGAAAGTTGAGTGTTGTTGGGACCTAGGATGCACCTCATTAAAGTAAATAAGTTCATTAAAGAAATTAGCCTGCTGAATATGTTTTCAGATGAATACAGATACAATGGTATATGCCTGGGATTTATGTTACAAACTGAGAAGTTTTTGTTGACTGAGAAATGGAACAGTTTTTTCGTCTTGTCTGTTAACCTTGTTGCAGGTTATGCAACAGACAAATGCTATGAAAGCGTCATTATTTTGTGTTTGCAAATAGTAGAGGAGGCTCTATATTTGGAGAAAATGGTCATATTTTAACTAACTTCTGTAGGGGGGGAAAAAACCCCAAACAAACCAACAAAAAAACCCAACCCAACAACTGGGGCGAGTTATCCTGTAACAAACTTGTTGGATAAGGACAGCAATTGAATTTTTGTCTCACAAGAAACTGGTTGTATTGACTTCTAATGGAGTCAAGACTACTTCAGCATTTGTGGCCTTGATATAGAAATGCCCGTTGAAATAGAGTTGATCACGTCACTGTGTGAAATATCTCTTTGCAATAGATGGAAATAGTTGGGAACATAGGGAACGTCCTTCTTTTTCTTCTTTTCTCTAGCAGCCACTTCAGAACTGTATTTAATGTAGTTCTAAAATAAGATTTCTGAAATGCAGTGAAGAGAATTAGTCTTTATTGTGGTCAGGTGTTTCTGGGGCGTAGTTCAATGGGAATAGATCTAGTCAACACTTGATGCTTTCTTGGGCCTGTAGGAGGAAATATGGATGGAGCAGCAGTATAAATTCATGAACGGGGTAATAATGGCACAGATTTATTTATTGCAGATTAAGCGTATTAACAGCTTTTGCAGGGGCCAACTCAGTGTCTTTTGCTGACGAAGTCTCTTCTTTCTAACCAGAGGACCCTTTTTGGTGGCTTTGGGGAAGTCATGGCATCCGGAGGAGTTTAATTGTGCTCATTGCAAAACCTCCATGGCTTACATTGGATTTGTGGAAGAGAAGGGGGCCCTGTACTGTGAGGTCTGCTATGAGAAGTTCTTCGCCCCCGAGTGTTCGAAGTGCCAAAGGAAGATACTAGGGGTAAGTGACCAGCAAGTGGCCTGTTTTTCAGTGTGAACAATAACCAGTTCAGGAGTTCAGTGGTTCTCTACAATGAAATTCCTTTTTATCTGGCATAATCTGCATTCCTCCAAACACACCTTCTCAGCTTCCATTGCATACAGAATATGTTTTTGGCTCTTCTTATATTGAGCCTTTTCAGTCTCTTTGAGAAAAGGGGCTATAATCTCCTTGGCTCTGCCAAGATCAGCTCCTGTTTTTATGTAGCTGTTGTGATTGCTATATTTTCTTGAGCAAACTGCTGCTAATTTGCAGGTTTTTACAAAATGGAGGAGGGTGGGATGAGGTGGGAGAAGGGGGAATCAGTAATCTTTCTTAACTGAGCTAAGTGTTGGTTAACACGCCGGTTGGCTAGATGTGAAGTACTGAAATATTCCCAGTGGTGATCTAGATAGAAAGATGCATTATCCTACTCAGGACTACTGCTAATTTGAGCCTGCCAGCTGATTGTCCGCCGCTTACTGAAGACAGCAATGTGTCTGGGCTCTTGTGTAACTGGGGTCATACAGGGCTCTGGCAGCACAATTCTCAAGTCATATTTGGCACGATAGCATCTTCCAAACCAGCACAGAGCAGTCATAATTTTCGATAGAATTGAGGAGACATTAGAGATGCAGCTTTTCTTATTTCAGGGGGCTGTTATGGGTGAGATCGTAATGAAAATGGAAAAGGTGAAAAAATGAGTTGTTAAATCTGTCCAACTCTATGTTGAACCCTCCAAAATATGAGAGGTTGCTTATGACAAATAAGGAGATGTATCATAAGTAAAGCACCTTGTTAAATTTAACATCAGCAGGGATTGCATGCACAACCCATTTTCAAAGTAGCAGTAGGAAACAAAGTATTCTTGAAGGGAATCAAGTGTGGAGGCATGGTCACCACAATCTAGTCATCACATCGAAATAATGTGTTAATAACACTTTTTCTAATCCCCACAGGAAGTAATAAATGCTTTGAAACAAACTTGGCACGTTTCCTGCTTTGTGTGTGTGGCCTGTCATAACCCCATCCGCAATAATATCTTCCACTTAGAAGACGGCGATCCCTACTGTGAGACGGGTAAGAAGCAGCACAACCGAAGTTTACTGCGGCTGTGCAGGAAAGCAGGGCTTAATAAGGTTAGAAAAAACAATAGTTCCTTCTTCTTAAACCTCACTTAAGAAGAAGTGTCCCAGCAAACCTCAGGTAAGTGTGATATTTCAATTCAAAGCAGCGACAAATGCTGTAGACGCTGAGTTTGCAGCAGGAGAAGTTGGTAAGAATTCCTTCATCGGCTTCAGCAGGAGCAGGCTTCTTGTCACTGGTTTTACTCGTTCATGTTAACCTCGGTCGTACATATCAGTGATACAGCAGAATTACTTTTAGGGTGACTTCTGGTTTGCTTTAAAATAATCTGGAGTTTATGTAAATCCATGTATTTATTAAACAAGCCAATGCCAGTGGAGTTATGTGTTTTACTCTGAATAGCCTTATTCACAGCTGGGAGAGACTTCCAAGAGTAAGCAGCCTGCCCAGGAAGTTTTTTTCAGGATCAGGGATAACATCTGTTGAACATAAGCTTGGAATAAAGAAACAGGCTGTTAGGGGGAAAACAGAGTGATACGATTATAGCACTTGAAAGCCTGATGAGCAATATTACATGAAAGATGCGGCTTAGAAGTTCAGAGGGATTCTGGTTTGGGTTTTAGCACTTCCAGCTAATCATATCTTTTTTTATTAATATGAGCAGTTTTATTTAGATTGGTTCCCTAGTTTTCCTTGCCTTCTGGGCTAGGAAATAGATAGTATTTGGAAAACAATTCCACAAAAATGGAAAAGAAACGCAATTGTATCAAAATTGCTTATTTTCACACTGCACACTGTTTACATCCATGTTAGAAGCATCATTTGGAGCTTTTCTGAGTTTTTCCTTTTACTGTAAGAGGCACTGTAGTTTAAGTAGAGGTGGAAGTGGATTGACCAGGAAGAGATATAGCATGAAATCCTAGTGATTTGTTTGGAGCTAATATTTCCTTCTGGGTTGATCCCGCAGTTGTTCACAGCAGGTGCAATGGAGAGTGCCAGGTACTGAAAAGATAAGGAAAGCAGGCAAAATTAATCCAAAATGTCTCTGTCAGAGTGGCTTTAATGAGGTGTTGGCAGACACAAAAGGATGCAGTAGGTTATTGCTAACTCGGTGACAAAAGTCGGGTAACGTGTTGCTCCTATTGAATTTGTGGAGCGGCAGAGGAAATGGATATAGGAGCAGCATCCTCCAGTGTGACAGCACGGTGAAATTTCATCCTGAAGCAATCTGAAGCCCCTAATCTTGGAACCATTTGATGATTCAAAAATAGTACTGGAGGAATCGATAACTCCCCTTTGGGTGGAAAGCTTGTGACCGGGTTTGTTCTGCTCATATTGAATTCTTGTTCCTGCCACCAAACGACCCGTATGTTGTGCGGCGCATTGATTTGTGCTACTGTTACAACTCCTGGGCACAAATGCGCACTTTGCTATACTGTGAGCAGGAAACACTGGGATAAAACATCAGGAATATTATCCCCTTCTCGCGAAGTTTATTTCTGAGCTAGAAAGTTGCTAGCACAAGTCAATGTAGACACATTCTGTGAGGTGTTACTGGCAGTGATACGTTGTAATGGCTCTGGCTCGCTCAGTAGATGTTAATTTGACATATAATCATTCTTCGAAGGCGTTCAGTCCAGCTGGAGTTAAGAGTCTATGACTAATTTTAAAGAAATAGAGAGTAAATGTCATTGCCAACTTTCTTTCTTCCTAGGGCAAAGGAGGCTTCTAATTTTAAATCTGCATTTGAAATTATAACAGCATCAGCTATTAGTATTAAGGGGGTTTAATCTGCAAAACATTCTGGTTTTGGATTTCAAGGCTAAAATTAAAATAAAAATGCAAATATCTACAACTTTGAACTTTTTGAAGAGCAGAATTAGTAACCTAGTTTTTAAAATCCTGTGTGCAGTAAGCATTGCTATATGACTGTGAGAAGCCTGCCTTGGAAGGCTTCTTTGGTATCACAATTCAAGCACGCAAAACCAAGAGAAAGCTGATGCCCTTCATTCTGCCTTATCATTGCCCTTTCTTCAGAAGGAAAGCCAATAAACTTATCAACACAAACCACAGGCCAACTTTCAAAAGGCTTTAACTACTGGCACCGGGAAAATATCAGTAAGAGATTCTGTAAGAACATGAATGCAAAGAGCTGCAACGGCACGGTCATGGGACCATGTCCTTCAGGGGTTTTGCACAGAGGTGTTGTACCATTTGACATTTTTATTGTCTGTCTCCTGCTTAAACACTTGCAAATTCATGCTAGTAGCACGGATTAATGAAGGCGACCAGTGGAGCTGTTTCTTGCCACTGGCAGCCATCACGGGCTTTGCTTTTCCAGAGCACTTATGTTCCCCTCCTATGGGGGATGCCTCCTATGATGATGCTTTTTGAGGTCATCATACAAAAGACTGGTTTTTTTTACTAAGCTGAAACAGTAAAACTCTTCCCTTGTGCTTGACACGTGTGATAAGCCTCTGTTGGCACTGCTGCAGCAAGCTCTAGAGCTTCAGATCTAGTAGAGAAAAATATCTCCTTATACCCCATTTGCCACTCCTTACAAGGCTCCTTGAAAACACTCCCTGACGTCTAATTTCCCTGTCAGAGCCAGAGTGTTACTAGTAAGAATGGAGTCCAAAGCTTCATTACGGTTGTCACTCTGTAGTGACATGATGTTTTATGGCATTATGTATTTGGCATGGCAGCGCGCTGATCCCAAATTCTCTCCTGTTGTAGCACTAATGCTGTTGTTTTCCGTGCAGGAATAAAACATTTCCTTCTCAGAATGGGGTGTTTGAGAGTTGAAATAAGTGGAAAAGACCAGACAGCTTGGGGTGAAATATAGGTCTGTGCAGGTGGGCAACGGAGGGCTGTGGTGACTTGTAGCCCCCTCAGTGCACGGAGAAGCGTGTCACACACTGAGACGGTGGGGCTGGGGGTGGGTATCAGTGCCTCCCACCCAAATTTAGGTGTGTATTTTCTTCTGCTGGTCTGCCCTGCTCTTTTTCAAGCTCTGTACCCCGTGGGGAATATGAATGGCTCAGTGCCCTCAGTTTTGGTCCCTGCTCTCTGAGGCGGCTGGAGGAGCTTTTCTCTTCTGACTCCAGGGGACCCTCCGGAGGCACCAAGTCAATCCAATCCATAAATTCGCCCCTAAAAATGAGTGTTACAAATACCATTCAGTAATAGCAGTCACTAATAACCATCCTAATACCCTACTGATACTTTTGTGTTAAACACAATAAATACACTGGCTAAAGCCTCTGGTTTGGTTTTGGTTTTTGTTTGTTTGTTGGTTTGGGGTTTTTTTGTGGCTTGTAGTTTTTTGGGATGATTTTGGTTTTTTCAGGGGGTTTTTGGTTTTGTTTTGGGGTTTTTTTTGTTTTGGTTTTGTGTCTCTTTTTTTTTTTTTTTTTTTTTTTTTGAAAGAGCCATGCAATTAACTCCAGTGACTAGAAAACTGTTCTGACTTGATCCAAATTGCTAGACACCATTTAGGACAGAGGTGTAATGGTTGCATGATTTTGTGTAGTGCAGTCTGGGGCAAATATCGTGCCAGAATGTAAGCAAGGAGTTAGTTACTCACTGAGGTGGTCTATGGTGTGACCATCCAGGGGTATGCTTTCAGGGCAGAGCCAGAGAGAAGGTAAGGAGCCGGTGGAGCCCAGGCAGGTGCTCTGCGAGGAGTGCATTTCCCTCCTGAGTGCACTATGGATCTCACGGAAAAGAAACACCAGGAAGGTGGGAAGTATTGCTCACTTGAAAGGATAAGGAAGGGGATGAAAACTGAATGAGCAAGGAAAGGAGGGCATCCCTGTCTTTCTGTCTAGGAGCTCTTTATTCAGCGTACCCTGTATTATAAAACTCAACCAGTGCAAACCCACTGCCGTTGAAAGAAAAGCACAAAAGTTTTAAAGGGTCATTCTCACTTTTCTGCGTATGCCTCACCTTTAAAATCTGTTTGTGTTTGTTTGCAGATTACTATGCCCTCTTCGGTACTATGTGCCATGGCTGTGAATTCCCCATCGAAGCTGGAGACAGGTTTCTTGAAGCCCTGGGCCACACTTGGCATGACACTTGCTTTGTATGCTCGGTAAGTAAAGCTAGTCTAGATTTTAACCGAGCCCACGGCAGCAGCGCGTGTGCTAACCTGACTGACGTGGGACTTCACAGCTGAAACTCTTTTAGTTCTCCAAGCCCAAACAAAAAGCACTTTCCCAGTTAGTTTGGAAGGTGTGTTGCTATTGTGAGCCTTTGGCATTAGTCCAGAGAAGTCGGCCTGGATTGCAGCCATGAGTCCGAGCATTTAACCCTTGATGTTTACTTTCTCGGAGCAAGAGTTGAAGGCCACACAGGAACGGGCTGTGTTTCTTAAGCAGGAGGAGGGCTTTTGACATAAAGACACTGTAGCCAAAGTATCACCTGCTAATATTTTATGACAAAAAAAAAAAAAGTTCCAGTCCTCATGATGTGGTATTTTAAAAAAAAAAACAACGCTGCTGCCAGTTAAGAACCTGATGACTTAATGAAAGGAAGGTTGTGCTTACATTAACCATAAGTATTGAATATTCCGGAGAAAAAGGTAGTAATTTTTATTCTTATATGTATTTGTGCATAGTACAGTGCCATGATTTTGCTTTCTGATTAACCAATGGTGTCATTAAACCATCTGAATTGGATGATGTTTTCTCTTTTATCCCATTTCAGGTATGTAGTGACAGTTTGGAGGGTCAGACTTTCTTCTCCAAGAAGGACAAGCCACTCTGCAAGAAACACGCTCACTCTATCAATATCTGATACTTGGAGCTCATCTTGTGTAACAAATGTACTGAGCAGAAAGAGAAGTTAAAATGTCCATGTCCAATAATTGATTAAAATTATTTATATGTGTTTTTCTAAAAAACGGAAGAAAAATGTGGAAACTTGGGGGTGTTGTACACTAATTTTTGGAGCATTTATCAGTTAGGGTTTTGCTTTATGAAAAAATAGGAAAAGGGAATTGCACCAAAGACAAACAATTAGGGTGCCTTTACCTTTATACTTGGCACATTATTGTATTGGTTTCATGATTTTATGGCCACATTTATATCTGCTTCAGTATGAGAAGAGAAAATTCTATAAAAATAAATACCTGATATTAGAAGTCTTGGTTTTGCTGCTATTCAACAAATAAAAGGAGATTGGCTTCAATGATCCAGATCACTTTATTGCGCTGATGTTTTTCAAAGTGTGTCTAGAAGTATTGCAGCTAAACTCCATTAAAAGGAACTCAAAGCAAAGATAAAATTTCATGGAATATATAGTTCAACAATTGCTATTTTCATCTGATACTCATGTCCATGAGGCCTCCTGCACAATTACACATACTTGTGTCTTTGCAGTCAAATTTCTGATGAGTCTGCAAAGGATAGAGATTTTTACAAAGCAGTTAATTGGAGGGGTGGCTGTGCTGGTGAGTAAGAATAGTTTAGAAGACGCCACTTAAAAGAAAACATAAATGGAATACTCTTCCTTAACTCGTGTACTACCAGAACACTAGCCCAAAAAAACCTGCTAGTGAAGGTGTGTTTGACAGGATGGAAATGTCAGATCAGGTCTTAAAAATAAGGGAGGGGGAGGTTATACTCTTACATTTGCAGTTCAGGTTTTCAGATGGATTTAAGTGCCTTTGAAAGGGGAAATTGCACCGAATCTGCAGGTAACAGTGTTTTATATCCAGAAGGTGAAACTCTGGTGTTGAATGAGGGAAACTGCTGAAGTGCAGCTGAGGACATTGTTTTTCTCTCAGTACATTCTTTACCATGTAGCTCATGAATATGTATATTGGTGGTGTGCCAGGTAGTGTACCGAAAACTTATTTTCTTGCTCAGCTGTTATGATTTTTATTAGTTGAGGTTTTATTTCTCTCTTTTCTTCCAGATGTCAGGAATATATTGTTGAATAATATAATATTGAGTTAGGCGGCTCGGTATCTCTCAGTTCCTGCAAGGGAGCAGAGAGACAGCGTTGTCGTTATGCATTTGCCACAAGCCAGGAGACGGAGCCACTTCTGTGGCTTGATATGAGTTTTGCCTCCATACAGAGAGTCAGCACAAGATCTGTGCACCAGCTAAGTCCTACTCAACTTCAAATTCGGGCTTAAGTGGTATGGAGCAATTGTACAGACAGGGAGGAGGTGGTGACTCTCTGCACGGGGTGAACTTCGCTTCAGCAGAGTTGCACAACAAAGAAGGGGACCTTCTCGGGGCCGGATCGGATTCCTGAAGGAAACTGAATTTACATGCTATTTAATTCAACTGGGATGTCAGAGCTGAATCGTTAGTCTTTAGTGCTCTTTCCAGTAGACATTAGAAGTAACCATTTACTGGTTTTGTTGTGGTGCGTTTTTTGTTGGGTTTTGGTTTTTTTTTTTCCAATGATACAAAGGACGGGTTTATCCATGGAAACCATGGGGAAAATCACAAGAAATTGCCATGGTTGACTAAAGCAATTGTAACAAGGAACATCAACAAAAGAGGGGGAAAGAAATTTCCCTATTGAAATATGAAGGTATTTGGCTTTCTTATCAATTCAGTGAGACAGGTTCAAGTTGTGGGGCTGTTTCACTTTATTTCCTGGAGTTGTTTTTCTTCAATACTACCACGTTTCTTTCTTAACTTCTGGTGGTACGGAAGAAATGGCATAAAGCTGTTTAAAGTGTTTACAGTCTTGTAGATGGACCCTTTTGTGAGTTTGGCTGAAAATCAAAAGAGTAGAAGGAGACTGGACAAGACAGCAAGATATGAGCCAGGTTGCTTTAGAAATGAGGTGGAATGTGGAGAATTGAGACCTTGAGACTAGGTTTCAGTGGAGCTATATTGCACATGCGTGAGGAAAGAGAATGGGAAAGCACAGGATAAGGTATTTGGTAATTTCTGCAATTGAAAGTTTGCTATTTTAAAGTAGGATAGAAACCTTTCAGTTTGTCAGTGTCCTTAAAAACAAATTTTTTTTTTGTTTTTTAATTTTAATTGGAATTATATTTCTTAATCCATATGCTCTAGGGTTTGAAATTTTGCAGTTGTTAATGAATTTGAGGACAGAAGCCTGGAAGGCTCCAATAGTACTGCTTTATTTAGCTGCTTGGGCTTTTAATTTCTGCTTTTATCTATTTGTTTAAAATTTAAAAGGAAGCATAGAGTCACTGATACATAATGAATATTTAATGGCTCTACCAAATTATATAAATCAACTAAAAGGAACATAATTTTTATCGTTATTTTAATAAGTGAGATTTTAGTAGAGCACTTTATAATAATGCCATATATCTCACTGAATATTTATTACCTTTTTTTGTTTAGGACTATTTCATACTGATACCTTTGTATTTTGTTGTATTGTAAGCCTGCATATTTACCTCTAGATTCCTTTGGGGTGTGAGTGTGTATATGTGTATGTGTTCATATATACTTCTCTATACATGCACACATATATGTGTACATTGAGACAGACCTATATATGCACATATACATATGTATATTTGACTGCAGACTTGACATAGCAAAAATCAGCACTGTTGCCATCATCATTTGGGGATTTCATGAGATTCCCAACTACTTTTCATATAACATGTGTATAGCATTCATGATTTGAGGGAATGTTAGAAAGTCAGGAGAATCCTGTTAGTAACCTAACTACTGTAGTTTTTTGCATGCATTTTCAGTCAGTAATTATTTTTCTTCCAAAATTGCCTGTAAGAGAATCAGGTTTAATTCTGTTTGAAGGTAGAAGGTCTTTATAAGTGGATAATTGATTTGTGATGACAGTTTCAGTATATTGTAACTAGGCAATTCAGAATTATTTGTAAATATAAATGCTTAATATAACAATGCAATAAACTTAAAAGCAAAAGTTGAATTGTGTTTCAGTGTGTTGGTCTGTTCAGTTTTGTACCCATTTCTTCATGGAGTTACTGGTGTCGTCTATCTGTATGAGTGGCTTTGCACTCATCAGTGCAAACTATCAGTGCACGCATCAGTGAACTACATCAGTTCACAGATTACTTGTTTGAATTTCCTTTCTTTAGGTTGTTTTACACTAAACAACCAGCTGTTAAGACCTGGTGATTTCCTTACTTGTGTTTAGTGGTCTTTGGCACCAAGTTTTGGCTGTTCACATTTGCAAATTTAATTATAATCAAAAACTGAAAGAAACCAACCCAGCACAAACCCCTAAACTCTCTACTTATCCTCAGTTGTTTTGTGGCAGTTGGATGTTTTCTTTTTCTGAATCATAGTCAGTAAAAGAAAGGCATGTTTGTACATATGAATAGGTATCATTTGAGTTGATTGTTCTTCATTTTTTTGGTGTAGAATGAAGATTTGCTTTACAGAAAAGGAGCTGGGGGTCCTAGTGGACACCAAGTTGACCATGAGCCAGTGATGTCCCCTTCATGACAAGGAAGACCACCAGTCTCCTTGGGGTCTGTTGCCAGCAGATCGAGAGAGGTGATCCTTCTCTGCACATCTGAAGTGCTGGGTCCAGTGTTGGTCTCACCAGTACAAGAGAGACATGGATGTACTGAAGTGAAGAGCTAGGAAGATGATTAAGGGCTTGGAGCGTTTGTCATACAAGGAGAGGTGGGTGAGCTGGTACGGTTCAGCCTAGAGAAGAGAGGCTTTAGGCGGCAACTAATCCATGTGTACAAATACCTGGAGGGGGTAGTAAAGAAGATAGAGCCAAACTTGGCTCAGTGGTACATATCGACAGGGCAACTGTGAGGATGTCCAAAGGCTAGCACAAGTTGCTTAGAGAGATTGTAGAGTCTCTGTCCTTGAACTCAAAACTCAACTAGAGACAGCCCTTGGACTAGACAAGGTCACTTGCTCAAAAGGTCCCTTCCAAGGTCTGTGTATCTCTGATTCACCATCTTTCATCTCTGATTCAAGATGGCATGAAAGATGGAAATGCAGTGTTGAACACTATAGAATATGTAACAATGTAAAACTCAATATTGGCCAATTACTATTTATTTGCTATCTTTACTTCATTCTACCGCCCATCTAGAATACTTCGCAATGCTTGTTTAGAAGTGTTTAATATTTTTCCTAAGTTGAGACTGTTCAAGGAAATAGTGCTTGCTCTGGCAAGCATTAAATGATACTGTACGTAGCCCTGGCACGCAGCAGTCTCCCCTTTTCACCGCAGGATACTTAACTGTCTACTATAACATGGCCAATTACTTCATGATTATACCAGCCTGGTAAGACTCTCCTTCGCTGAGTATCTCTTAACTAGGCAAATGCACTGTTGTTTTCTACCTTTATTTACACAAGCGAAGGAAAACACTGCACACAGCTCCATAAAATTTAGAGGCAACTTTACAGAAAACTTGCCTCCCCTTCAGTGTTTAGGCTACATACGAGACAAACGCAAGTCTATTTGCAAACAGTATATTAAACTCCAGAAGCCAAACTTTTAAAGGCATCACGTCTGCATTTGACATTTTAATGGCAAAGGTTTGGTTTCTATCAATCACAACGTCATGTAACATTAAAATGCACTGACAAAAAAAAAGAGATCTGTCATTCATTCATTAAGACACTGTAATCCAGTGTAAGATTTATAGGCTTAAAACTCAACAGTGTGTTTTCACAATAAATCCACTTTCACTGCTCAGCACAGAACAAATCTCTGTGTCACTCAAAATGTTTGCTGGTCAAAATGCCCTGTATGAGATCTTCAAAGGGTTTCTCACAAAATTGCATATAAATCCTTTTACCAGCAGAGGCTTAATTTAGGTTCAAGTTTTACTTTCTCGGGACATTGCTTAATATCTTGTGCTCAGACAAGATCTTGGTTATATCAGAAACACATAGGGCCTAATTTATTATTAGCAGTCTGGTGTTAATTAGGGGGAATTACCAGAAATAGTTTGCTTGATGGAAATTTATTATGGGATCACACTTTACTGATGGCAAAATAGGAGTCACTGAAAGAGTGCAGCTCCTTCTCATAACCAACTAATTAATAAGGTGCCAAAATTCCTCTGAGAAGGGTTTGGTCCTAACTATGGGAACCTCACAGAGCAAATGGTTCCTATGCAGTATTTAAAATTTAAAAGAGGAAAAGAGAGAGGAGAAAAAGCTGCCCAGCAGAAATCTCAAAAGTGGTATGGCTTTTTCTTGAATTTATGAAAGAAAATATTTAGCTGTGTTTCCAAGCTCATTAAAGAATTGCTTTTCCCAGACAGAAAAACAAGAGCTAGTTTATAATCTCGTTTGGTATGCTTGAACTTGGTTTTCAGTTTTACTTGTGCATACTGCACACTACAGCTTGTAATTTTATGAATTGGGCTTATAATGAGCTCTTATATTGCTCTTTATTGCTTTGCCTAAAGGTCTTTTTCATTATCATTTGCCATGAAAGTCGAGGTTGCATAGATAGGAAACTTGTGTTGATGACTGAAAAACAGGACAAAGTATTCACATTTCTGATAAGACCAAATCTAGTGCATGTATGGCAGTTTGGGGATAGAAAATCACTGTCTCTTGTTGTTAGGGGTCTCATGGAAGTCTTACCTGTGTCAGGATGGCATGTTATTATAATAAGATGACGGGCAAGCAAAATGTCTCTAAAGAAATTTAAAATCAGCACGCTAAAATTTACACATGACTGATTTGGAAAAATATTTTCCATAAGATCTTTTTCAAAAATATTTAAGATGGTAAAGTATGTAAGTTGTAATAAAGAGCTTTTGTATTTTTACTGGAAATACCTTGAAGTCTTTTAAAAATTCTAGCATTTTGGGTATGTTTTAAAAGGTTTCTCCTATACTGTGAAACTAATGATTGTGTCATTGTGCTCTGAGTAATATTCACACTTTCCATAGGGTCACAGTGATTTCCTTTTCAGTACTCATGCCTTTGCTTCATTTTTTCTTACTGCCATTGTTTGTTTTAAAGTATTTCAGTACAAGATAATCCTGTCAGGTGTGTCCCTTATTTCTCTTTGTGATGCATCAATGAAATGTCAAAAGTTCTTTTGGTAAATATAAACTTGCAGTAAATCTTGGCACACTTTCTGAAGTGTCAAGTTTTCCCACCCAGAAGTTTCCGCTGGAAAAATAACTCAAGATACTAGACCAAAGCGGTAATTATATCCCACATAAACTCTTTCTTTCCCTTGAAATCCATCAGGCAAAAGGGAAACACATGAAAGTAAGTGTAGGGCCAAAACCATTGAGCATTAAACTAAGCAAATGCAGCCTCACTGATTTCAACTTATTCCCCTCCAAATTAAAAAGTACTGGTATCAAAGCTACTTTAATTTTATGCTTATGTTTGCCCAATGAGCGAGAATTATAATTAAGCTAAGGATCTGTGCCCTTGGTTTTAGCAGGATTGCCATTAAGTGTCACAAATCTCTCATTTGGTAGATGACAAAACAGTTGGGTACCATGCTAACCCAGAGACAGGAACTACGAGAAATAATACTGCTTCCTAACAGTGTATTTCGTTTCTCAAACCTCAGATACTCAGTGTCTCTGGACAAACCATAACAGGTTAGGTGAGAAAGTTAAAATCTTTTCCTGATACTAATCTGCCTACTCTAGCACTTTGCCGATTCAATAAAATTTAATTGAATTGTTCCACACAAAAAGAACATAAAAATTGTGTGCTCTTCCTGGGCTTGGATCAGTATTCTCTGAGAATACAAAGGATGGTAAATTCATAAATAACTTGGCTCTGCATGAAAGATGAACTATTGGTATTTGCACTAAGTTGAGGTACACTCTGCAGATTTCTTCAGATTTTCTTGCCATTCGTGTTGCCTTAGCAGCATTTCTCCAAATTATGCAACCCCCCCAAAGCATCCATTAAGGGTGGATTGATAATTATTCAGATCTCTCAAAAATTACTGGAGTATATATATTTTTAAAATTCACTTCCATTATTGAAAATGTTGAT